TGGCTTCAGATCAGGTCATGATCTCACGGGTTTGGGAGTTCGGCCCACCTATCAGGCTCTGTGCTGGAGTTCCCTCTCTCCCTCTTTCTCTGCTCCTCTCCCATTTGCGCTGTCTCTGCCTCTCTCAAAATAAATAAATAAACTTAAAAATAAATTTAAAATAAACACATAACTTTAAAAAAGTGAGTAAAATCTGATTTCTAACTCAGGCAAAAAATTCAGCTGAAACTTCACCCCCAAAGGATTATAGAGAACAAGAGAACTGACAAGGCATAGAGTGTTGTTGCACAGTCTACCTGGAGAGGAGAAGGTGACTGATCAGCTCCCTTATACTCGGGTTTGCTTAGAGGTCTAGACCCAAATCAATAGTTTCCACGGCAGCAGACAATACATTTACCATCTAAAAACTATAAACCCTGCAAATGATAAAGCCAGCATTCATTCACCAGAAGTACGAATCAAACTAATTGACAAAGTAAATGTCTCTGAATATTAAGCTGTTAATATAAAATAATTCTAAATTCATGAAATCTATCAACAAAAGTTACCTATAACCTTCTTTATAATAAAAGAATGATGGTGGTGGGGGGCGCCTGAGTGGTTCAGGCAGTTGAGTATCCGACTCCAGCTCAGGTCAAGATCTCAAAGCTTCGTGAGTTCGAGCCCTGCATCAGGCTCTCTGCTGTCAGCACAGAACCGGCTTTGGATCCTCTGTCCCCCTCTCTCTTCGCCCCTCCCCTGCTTGCGTTCTCTCTTTCTCAAAGAAAAAATAAACATTAAAAAAAAAAAGTATCATGGTACGTTTTTGCTTCCACATTTTACCTTTTATTCTCTTTTCTTGCTGATAAATAACTGCCAATTCAAGTTTTTTAAATTTTATTATCTTTTTGGTTGTTTGTTTTTCTAGAAGTAACACATACATTGATGAAAGAGGCTATACTCTTAATGATCTGTTCAGATTAGGAAAAATTTTCTGTTAACTTTAAAAAAATCAGCATGGATTCCACATTCATATTTTGAAGTGATACAGAGTCGCGGTCTCATAGGAATAGCAAAACCATCCTGTTTAAAGTTCCACACCCTATAAAACCCCTTTTTGAGACCAAATGACTGAGAAAGAAATTATTTCCATTGTGATACTATGTAATATTCCTTTATGCTAAAATGTAACCTATTCTTGCCTATATATCTTAAAGTCATACTATTTAGTCATTGTAAGTATTTAAATTTTCACCTTCTTGTGTTACATTATTTACCTTTTTTTTTTTTTTTTTTTTGAGAGAGAGCACACGTGGAGGAGGGGGACATAGGATCCAAAGCGGGCTCTGTGCTGACAGCAGTAAGCCCAATGAAGGACTCAAACCCACGAACTGTGAGATCATGACCTGAGCCGAGGTCGGACACTCAACTGACTGAGCCATCCAGGCACGCCCCCCCCCTCCTTGTTTTAGTACCTTTTATCCCTTCTAGCCTCATCCCCTCCCAAGTCCAACCTAGCCTCAAGAAAGAAAAAAAGATCCCCTGGCAACAAAGATCCTTTTGGTAAACTGGCTTGGGGACACAAAATGGTCTGGGAAAAGTGTTTGTCTTTTCAGCACTTGGTTTAAGAGGCAGGATCTCTGTCTCCCAAGCTGTGCAGGCTGATGGTTACCTGGGAGCCAGAAAATGACAGTGGGACCAGTACTTTCCAAATTCTGGACCTATTATTTCATCAGTCCCCAATGAAAGAAGGAAAAATTAGGACAACACAGAATTTTCACCAAGATAACTCTACTTGATTAAAAACCTGTTTTTGACCATGATAACGTTTGATGCTTTTTTAAAAGCACTTCCTGGCTGGAACTGAAAGGTGGTAATCTTATTTTGGTCCACACAGACTTTATTGAAATGCTTTTGGTCTGTGAAGTCCAGATCCTGAGACCCCTTGGATTAGATTTCAGATGGGAGGGAGGGAGGAAGGCACAGGTATCTACAATCCTGACATATCCTGAAACCATTCCAACTCATGGGTGATCCCCAGGATTTGGAAACCAAAGTGTTACTGACCTTGATATCTTTGGGATAAAGGAGGTATTGTTTTTAGCTATATAACCAATGTGTGCTAATGAATTTTTTTAAGTGGACCGCCTCACTGTTTTTCCTTAAGCTTTGTCTTCTTCATTCTGTTTTTCTCCTACTTTTTAAAAAACAGGGTTTTCAGGGCACCGAGGTGGCACAGTTGGTTAAGGGTCAGACTCTTGATTTCAGCTCAGGTCATGATCTACAGTTTGAGAGTTCGAGCCTCATCTCGAGCTCTGCGCTGACAGCACAGACAGCTGGCTGTGGGATTCTCTCTCTTCTTCCCTCCCCTACGCTCTCTCCCTCTCTAAACAAACAAATAAGCAAAAAAAAAAAATGGGTATTTCATATTTCTATCTGCAAGATTAACATTACTAAGTCCCTGGTTTATACATTTTAACGTTCTGTACTTTTTTTGGCACTATTTTGTAATCTGAAAGTGATCTTTTTCATCCAATACAACGTAATGACTTTCCTTCTTAGCTTATTGCCATTTTCACCATATCTTACAATCCAACTATGTCTGATTTTACGAAACTAAAACAAAGCAAACACGATTCCAGCATTAGGAAAATCAACAAATTCGGTCAGGGACCCCGTGGGTCCCAAACACCCAACTGTCAGGTCTGGACAACATGTAGTATGTGTTTCAGTGTCTTCGCCTCCACCCTCACTCACCCTTAAGGACACCAGATATGGTCAATGTTCCCTTTCTTCCTCCTGCACCATTTAACCGTCTCATAATGCCACTTGCCGTAAGCATCTTCACAACCCCTCCCCTTTAACAATTTCCCTCTCGTCGACAATGCCCACCCAGCACCTGACAATATTTCTCCCTTCCCTCCTCCTACTGATAATAATGCCCACACTTATTGCGTGCCTATATGTGCCAAGCATTACCAAGGGGCTTTACCTGTGTCCTTTCATTTATTTGTCACTGGAACATGATAAGACCGATGCCATTATCTCCATTTGATGGATGAACACCAGGAGAATTTGGTAACTTGCTTGGGGTCACAGTCAATACACAGCTTTCAGGACAGATAATCATAACAATTATGATATTGATAGAGTTATATCCAGAGGAAGGGGAAAAAAAGGTCTGAAGCAGAACCTGACAAAGTCAAGAACAATTCGCTTCTTTTAATAGCCCTCGAAAGTAGAGATTAGAAGATGAAGTCACAATTTCCGCGTGTATCCTAGGTCATGGCCTCTAATTACAGACTTACGCACTCAGGGTGAAGATAGTTAAAAGCTATTTCTAATTCAACATTTCTGGGGTAGTATCTTCCATTTTCCACAGCCATCTGTAGCACTTTTATTTCATGGAAATAAACACTGTGTGGTTTGGCCTGAGTACATAACCACCACTGAGCAGAGCTTCTGGGGAAAGTGCATTACGGGAAGGCTGCAGTGTGATGAAATGGCAAGGTCTCCCATTGACTCCAGAGACCCATCAGTCTGTCAATCAAATGCAGAAGAGCCGCATTAGACGGCTGTAGCTCTTTCCAGCTTCGGCTTTTCAGTTCCAAACGGTTGACTTTATCAATTTCTTTGGGGAAACGAGTCATGTGTAAATCATTAAAAGACAATCTGGATTCTAAATTCACATCTAGGGTCTGAGACTCCCCCGGCTGCTTCAAGAAAGGAGTGTTTGCAAGGGCTCCAACCTTCACCCCCCTCTCTTCCGCAGCCATATCCCCAGCAGAGGCACCCCCATCCACTATCCGGATTGTAACCCCCAGCTTCACACAGCTGAGAAGGGGCCAAACCTCCCTCTCTGGTCCTAAAACTTTCCCCTGACTTCCAGACCCACCTCTCACTTCTCTCCTTACCAGACAACTCCGTCTACATGTCCCCAGTGCCTTGAACTCCACCTGTCCAAAACGAAATTTGTTATCCTTCCCATAAGTACTGCAACCTCTTTGATGTCTGAGTTTGGATTACAGCACCATCATGGATGCAGACACGTGACCCATGAATGTCAGATTCCTGTCTTTTCCTCACTGACCACCCCCACCCCCCATAATCTAAAGAGTCAACAAAGCCAGTCTACTCCCTGCCTGGTTGTCTCTAAATCTGTTCCCTTTCTTCTGCTTTGCTGTTAGCCAGTCTCTGCCTCTCTGGACCACCTGCAAAGCCTGCTGCTATTTCTCGAACTACCAGAATACTCTTCATGTCTGATGCTCCTGTATTTATGTACCTTGGTTTCATCACCTTGAAAATTGGAATGTAACCAACATCAAATGCTCTAACTGTGTGGATAACAATTACATCCCTATTTTCAAGCTAATAAAACCAAGAATGTTATACAAATACAAGTGATAAAATTTTCTTATCATATCAGAAAGATATTCCTCTAGAACAACTTATCTGCGTTGAAGAACAAATCATTTTTCTCCTATCCCAGCAGGAAAGAGATCCCATTAAGGTTAAAATAATTTGATCATTGCAGCAGTTCAACGCAAACAGGAGAGAGAGATACTGGCATATACTGGGTACCTACCACATGACAGGTACGAGATGCCAGGTACTTTTTGTAAGTTGCCAAAATTAATACAACCCTGTAATAAAGGAATAACCCCCATTTCAAGGGATAACACTAAGTAATTTGTTCTGTCTCAGAGCACTAAGTGGTATATCCAGGATCCAAATGTCACTCTGTGCAGTATCCCAGCCCACGCACTTGCCATCATCTGGCAACCCACCTCACCAAGAAAACGCTGAGGCTCACAGGGGCAAGGAATGATTAAAAGATTCACACACAGGGGCGCCTGGGTGGCTCAGTCGGTTGAGCGTCTGACTTCGGCTCAGGTCATGATCTCGCAGTTCACGAGTTCGAGCCCTGCGTCGGGCACTGTACTGGAGTCTGCTTTGGATCCTGTGTCTCCCTCTCTCTCTCTCTGCCCCTCCCCCGCTCACACTGGGTCTCTCTCTCTCTCTCTTTCTCTCTCTCAAAAATAAACATTAAAAAAAAAGAGTTACATACATGGTATCATTGCTTTCATCTAAATTCAACCATAATATTTTTTTGGGTCAAAATTTCAGATTTCAAGGAATACAAAACCTTTATGTTGACTGAAAGAGGAACTAGGTAAAGATGAGAAACATGAGTTGATGATACGAAAATTCAACTGGCAACACAGCTCAGATTTCATAGAACCCTTCTATTGCCTGGGTCTAAGGCCCGGGGTAATTTTTCCATAGAAAACCCCACCAATTTTTTAACTAGGTAAGATAGCTGGATCAGTATCTATCCTATACTTAGTACTGGGTTACGTACTATGGGCACAAAGAAAAACAAAGCCATGATACTGGTGAACTATCAATTCACCAAGAGAGGCATGAGATCATTGAGAAAGGCAACGTTTGCTATTCCGGCATTATGACATTGATATTACACACGACCCATCGTATATTCAATCTAAACAAAACAGTTCCGTATACAAAAGGATTCGACATATTAAAACCACACAAATGTATAAATTATGCCATAACAAGGGAGATTCTACAGCATAAAGATCTGAAAAGTAGTCCTTTCTAAACATACCATTTGAGTATTAATGAGAAATTCATATGAAGAACGAACTGATTCGCAAAGCTTATTCTCTAAAGCAGACATTCTCCCTGATGTACTTTTCAATGCTATTAACTCAACTAGAAAACCCTTTCTTTGTGAAGGGAAGACAAGGACATTTCTTACCAGCCCCTATTTCAATTTTTAAATTCTGAATTAGCACACTATGCATTTGTAAGGTTTTATCATATTAGAAATAATATAACACCTTAAAATGGAAGAAATCAACATTTGACATGGAATTCACTTTTACAACAAGTTGTACCGCTTACAAAAACTATTTTAATGGCACTTTATTAATGAAGTTATTAAGTGTTATATAAATGCAACCTTTTTATTTAAAGATCTTTTAAAATGTTTATTTATTGAGAGAGAGAGAGAGAGAGAGAGGCAGAGAGAGAGAGAGAGAGAGAGAGAGAGAGAGAGGGAGGGAGAACAAGCAGGGGAGGGGCAGTGAGAGAGGGAGACAGAGAATCCCAAGCAAGCTCCGCACTAACAGCGTAGAGCCTGATGCGGGGCTCAAACCCATCAACAGTGAGATCATGAGCTGAGCTGAAATTGAGAATCAGACACTTAACCGACTGAGCCAGCCAGGTGCCCCCAAATGCAACTTTTTGATGTTATAATAAAGTCCATGACAATAGAGACCACATTTTTCTCAACCGGGGGTACCAGCTACTCCTTCCTCCTCGTGTTTCCATGCGAAGGAACTTTCCTTAGAATAAAGACCCAGGTGTGTGCCTCAGTCCCCACCATTCCTGCCCCAGGAGGCACTGACTTTTGTGACTGATAAATATGGCAGAAGGATCACGGAAGGAATGAAGAACAATTAGAATTTTGTCTAATCACAAAGCATTAATACTTCTGTATTCTACTTTTCAGAGACCCTCATTTTACTCTCCTCGTTTAAAGTTATGCTTTTCCAACAAAAGCTTACTTCTACTACTCAATAAGCCCCATTTTATAAGCTTGCTGGGTGTGTGATTCATTTGTAAAGTGCGAATCTTTTAAGAAAAGTTATCTTTTAATCCCCTGAATCCCTCAAATTATCTAAAAGCATATTTTGCCCCCTTTGGGCTTCTGCAAAGGGTCCTATTTTTGCAACTTTACAAGCCATCAATATCATCAATCGCCCTTATTTTTTAGCAAAGCCCCTTGCTAAGCTACGAGCTTCATTCGATACCATTAGAGATGAAAGTTAAGCACTGCAATACCGTACCTGCCCCTAATCTCTATGCATCGGGCTCCGCATCAATCAGAAGTCGTTTATTGTGGAACCTGTCACAGGACATAATGACTCGTGCTAGTTGAGACCTGAACTCCCCTCTTCCAGAGGGCTTTTGAACTAGTAAACAGCTTATGAAACAGTACCTTAAGCAAAAAGTTCCCTTACTCTTTATTTCACTTCATCTTTAACAGGTTAATCTTGTATGTGTTCGAGGCTCTAAAATGACTTAATCATAATTTTGCAGCATCATAATCTGATTCACAGAGACGCACTACATCACCTAAATAAGAGAGATTAGGATTTTACAACTTGATTAAGAGAAACAAGTTAGCATAGACAGTCGCACAATATTAAAGGAAAGATCTTTTATAGCCTGCAAGATAACAAAGGTGACAAATCCTGCCGATAACAACTGGACTGTGTTACAGAGCAGCCAATCTTATGAACACTCTGAATCATTAATGAACCTTAAAACTGTTTAAGTTAGCCAGGCATGCTGAGATTTGGAACTACACAATTAACTTATCCCCAGAGAAACGAAGGTAGCAAAACATCACATTTTGCTCAGAGGAAAAAGTCCCTGGCTTATCAACAGGTGGGTTTTCCTTGCACTGTTCAGGGGGTCACTGCGCCCTGCTTTGTTTTAGACAAAGGACTCCAGCCCATTTCCAGGGCCTCCCCATTCACGAAGTCCAGTGGAAAGTCACAAGCTAAGATCCAACGGGTGCCACAAGGACAGTATTTGAACCAGCCACTTAAAACCTAGATACACTATCACATTTATTTATCCCTGATTCTGTTTATAGTCTTTGCTTACAACCATACAGACGAGCGAAATGAAAGCAGGCTTTAAGTTCTTTAAAGGACTAAAGAAAGCGTGGTTTGCAGCAGGAGCAGAGCCTGACCGACTCCTGCTACGTGGCCTTGTATTCCATGGACTGTGACGCCCGGGCCGGAGAATTGCCCGGTTCCAACCACATGCCCGTGGCCTGCCCTCAAATAAAGCAAGGGAGCTGGCAGAGTTTCCTGTTTTGTGCAGCAGCAGAAACCGTTCAAACCATTATTGCCAGAGGTATCTTCATTCTTTGTTTATCCATTTAAAGGCTTATAAATTTTTATGAACTCTTTGCAAGGTAAATTACAACAGGGTGGTGATATGACAGCCCGATGAGCTCGGTCCGAAAGCTAGCTCCCATGCTTTTTCCACGCGTGACATGACGAAGCAGGTCAACCACTCGGCTTCCCCCGCAAGCTGAACACAGCATTGGAGATGCTGTCCTAACCTTTCCAGGGTAACCGTTTATGAACGTGAGAAAACATTCTCCAACCACCTGAGAGACCCTGGCACGAATCCAAGTTACTGTATCATCACAGAGGACCCACATTTAGGGTTTGGCTCTTGTGTCTCTGTCACATCAGCACCTTGATGTATTTGTTTCGCAAACCCGCACACAAACGTTACCAGATCTCTGAATCTGTAAATACAGCTTCCCTTTAGAGCTTTAAATTTAAACTGTCAAACCATTATTCAGCAGATAATTTTGGAGCGCTAGGATATTACGTCCAATTAATGAAAACCTATATAAGATCAGGATTAGGATATAAAGCAGCCAACTTCAAGGAATCTAAAATGAACTGAACCCTCCTGACCAAGCAAATCCGACGACACTCTTTACACCCTCCTTTATATCTATCAAAAGACTTATCATTATAAATAAAAGACTCTACAAGGTAATCAACACCGAAATATTCTCTAGAAACGAACAAGTTTGCTTACCCAACACAAATGCACTTTAATACCTCATTTATCCATCAATAGATATTGTCACTGATGCCAGCAATCAAAAGAAATGTTGACTCTAAGCAGAATGACTAATATGGAGGGTTATCTCTTTTTTTAGAATACGCGTGAGATTCTATATGCAACATATACACGTGTTAAGTTATCTATAACGTACACATGCACGTATAAAAGAATGAATAAAAGCAGCTGTAAAACTTCTTAACACGTTATAGTCCGTAATTAACGCAAATAGGAATGAAAACACTCTAGACTGCAGTCTTTTGGAGGCAGGAGCTCATAATCCCCAAAGATTCAGAAGCATTACCTCATTGCAGCCTTGAGACAAGCTGAGCATTCACTCTAGGTCTTACCCAGCATCCTCCGGTTCACACAAAGACAACAGAGGCGTGACCAATCACATTGTGGCTAGCAGGCACTGTTTCAAAGCCCTCTCCCAATATTACCCATTGACATGCTCCCTGGCAGCCTGCTGAACTTGTCGCCATGGCAACACATCCCAGCTGCTCACCGAGGCTTGTTATATTACTTTTCCTTTTCACCACTCACTTAGCTAATTAAAAATTTAGGACTATGTTTCGCATGTTGGACGCAAATTGAAACAATGCAGCGTCCTTCTTCTCTTTTCCTTTCTTCTTCTTCTTCTTCTTCTCCTCCTCCTCCTCCTTCTTCTTCTCCTTCTTCTTTCTTTTTTTTTTTTTTTTTTCCAACGGAGCTTTAAAAAATGCTGGGAAAAGCGATTTGAAGGACACTCCCATGAAGTCCCAATATAACCAATCAATAGAGAGACTGCATGTAGCTCGAGCCAGATGGAATTTGTCGCTAACCAAACCAGGAGCATCGCTAAAGCTGTTCTTCCTGTTTGGAAATATATAAGCCAGTTCAGCAGAGATGATTTACGTTGAAATAGTCACATCATTCTCGGTCAAAACGTTCTTTAAATATTTTTTGTTTCGCACGATTCTGATCGGAAGCAGCTTTACCCATAATTCCACAATGCAAGCAGAGTAAATAAATAAATAAAGCGCCGAGAAAAAGATCCTGTAAAAACTGCCAGTATGGCAAGTGCTAAAAAGGGGTTCCAGCAGAAGGCATGTCTGTGGACCTGTCATATGTTTTAGATTTGACCACTGAAACGTACCCCTGGTGGGGACAAGAGCGGCAGGTCTGCAGTCGAAAACCCATGGGAAGAAGATGCCAGTTTTTGTTTACCGAAGCACAGACGAATAAATGAAACCTCCCAAACGGGTTCACGGATGGCGGCTGCCTCACATCTATCGCCTTTTTGAAAACTCCCCTTGCACCTCGAGTGATACCTTGTGGCTGGAGTTGATCCTAGAGACATTAGGATTCTACAGCAAAAAGTTCTCGTGCTTTTCTTTTTTCTTTTCAGCTTTCCACACTTAACGTGTTTAATAGAGTCGAAGGAAAATTAAAATCTGAAACGAGGTTCACTGTGAAAAAGCAGAGATAACAGACATCAAAGTGGTTTTAAAAATCCAAGGGTTTACAGTTTATGGGGAAAGCCTGTACTAGTTTCAATTAAACGAGAAAACCAAGATATCAAAAAACAGGCTTGGAGCAGGCTGGGCTGCCGCTTCCTCCCAGGTAGGTCTGCTAATTTTCCCGTCGGAAGTCAGCCACAGCTGCCTGACTCATGGCCTTCTGTCCTCAAACACAGGGCAAACCCATAAGCAGACAGACAGGTCGTATTCTTCCCGGTGTCCCCACCCTCCCCCCTCATCTCTGAATTTTCACAGCTACCACCGAAGACCACTGAAAAGAAGTCCCACCCACGGAGATCGTTAGAAATGTCAGAGAAGCCGTACAGAATTCTAATTTGTCTGTGAGGGATATGGGAGCAACGCCGGCCTAGGAGAGCGAAGGAGAGGTGATTGGCAGGGCTATTTGGGGTATTAGAGGTAAATACTGTTTCCTCTGTCCCCGACTTCCCACTTCAAGTAAGCAGGAGATAGCAAACAAATGAGGCTGGTCTCCGTTAAACATGGGAGGCTGTGAACAGTACTTCCTGACTCCCATAGGGCGACAGTAAGAGCACGAGGAAGAAAAGAACGACAGGAGAGATGAAACCATCGAACAATTCTGGAAGCTGGAAAAACAGATGGATGAGAGGTAGCTGAATGAAGACAGTAAAGAAAGTTTAAATATACATATAAGAGGAAGAGCGAACCGCGGATGGTAGTGTGGGCAGAGTAATTCGGAAATGATGTTGTGTGTATGGTGAGATGAGAAAGTGAGTAAATACAACGTGGGAGAAGGAGTATACACATTCACCGGTGGGGGGCGGGGGGAGGAGAGGAAGAGTCCCATTTCCTAGCTCTGTCACCGTGCCACCCCAACAGCAGCGAACTCACACGGCACTCATGATCTTGGGTTCTAAATACCATTCCCCACTGAAAGAGAAAAGGATTCTTAGAGAAAGGATTGATCTTGGGCGCCTGGGTGGCTCAGTCGGTTGAGCGCCCGACTTCGGCTCAGGTCATGATCTCACAGTTTGTGAGTTGGAGCCCCACGTCGGGCTCTGTGCTGATAGCTTGGAGCCTGGAGCCTGCTTCGGATTCTGTCTCCCTCTCTCTCTCTGCCCCTTTCCTCCTCGTGCTCTGTCTCTCTCTGTTTCTCAAAAACAAATAAAAGAAATGATTGATCCCAGGTCTGAGGCAAGAAACACACAAGTGAACGAGGAACATCTTTCTGTGCCAGAAAGCAAGAGAAGGCCCCAAACCTGATGGGGACACTTCAAAAGACTCAGGAACCAAACTGAAGGGGTTTCCCTGGCCAAATCAGGAACAAGTTGAACATCAAATAGCGTGTAGGCAAAATACTATACAACACACTGAACAGAAAGGAAGCCATGAGTACATTGTGATACCGAAACAAACACGCCGATACAGGGTGTGCGGAAAACAATAAAGCTTTTCTGTGTTCACAAACGAACACCAATTCATAACCCCAGACGAACCTCGAGAGTTAGAATCTGCATTGGTAACCACCATCGAAATCAAAGTGATGCAAGCAATAATTACCGATGCATGATCAAAATATGGGGTAAAACGCTGTTGGAGAACAAGCCCTTCATACAGTCTCAACGCACCAACAGACAGATTACTTCTTAATTACAAAAGGAAGAAGACAATGGCAAAACTGGGCTGATACCATCATCACCAAGTGATCAAACGTAGCATCACCAATAAGGCAAAGAGCCAGTACATGCTTCCTAATGTTAGGCACTGAAGAGCACACAATCCAACCTATGAAATACTCTCACCAAAAAAAAGAGTTTAATCTACATCTAATCAGGAAACGATAATCAGACATACTTCAAACCGGGGAACAGCCTATAAAACAACGAGCCTATGGGGGCACCTGGGTGGCTCGGCTGGTTAAGTGTCCGACTTCTGCTCAGGTCACGATCTCACGGTTTATGGGTTCAAGCCCCATGTCGGGCTCTGTGCTGACAGCTAGGAGCCTGCTTCTGATTCTGCGTCTCTTTTTTTCTTGGCCCCTCCCCCACTTGCACTCTGTCTCTCTCTCTCTCTCTCTCTCTCTCTCTCTCTCTCAAAAACAAACATAAAAAATTTTTTGAAAAACCAGCCTGTAGTGTTCAAGAAGGTTAATGTCATAAAAGACAAAAGGAAGCTGGAAAACCGTTGTGGCTTAAAGGAGAATCACAGCATGCAACACGTGGTGCTTGATTAGAGCTTGGAACCAAAAAATAAAAAAATCCAGGGGCGCCCGGGGGGCTCATTTGGTTAAGTGTCCCACTCTGGATTTCGACTCAGATCGTGATCTCATGGTTCATGAGTTCAAGCCCTGGGTGGGGCTCCACACTTGGGATTCTCTCTCTCCCTCTCTCTCTCTGCCCCCTCCCCTGCTCTCTCTATTTTAAAATAAATAACCTTTAAAAATGAAAATAAAAATAAAAATTCAAAGAAAACAGCCATAGAGGGCATTACTAGGGTAACAGGACAAAATTAAATATGAGTTGCCCACTAGATAACAGCATTGTATCAATGTTCAACTTTCTGAATTTGGTAATTCTGGTTTCATTATATAACAGAATGTCCTTGTTTATGAGAAATGTACTCTACAAGGGAAGTATCATGATGTTTGCACTGACTCTCAAATGGTACGAAAGACAGATACATGACAGATCATGGATGGAAGGACGGACGGACAGAGAGACAGATAGATAGAATGAACAAACGTGGCAAATGTCGGTAATTAGTAAATCTAGGTGAAGGGTATACTGGTATCTATCTTACTTATTTTGCAACTTCTATGTTATAAGAAATAAATTCAAAGCTGGAGAGGGGCAAGAAATCTGGAAAGTCTCTAGAATGCAGGTATCATTAAAGGTGAGGTATAAGGGGCACCAGGGTAGCTCAGCGGGTTAAGCGTTTGACTTTGACCCAGGTCATGACCTCAAGGTTCACGAGTTCCAGCCCCATGTCGGGCTCCATGCTGACAGTGTAGAACCTGCTTGAGATTCTCTCTCTTCCACCTCTCTCTCTGTCCCTCCTCCACTCACGATTTCTCTCTCAAAATAAAAAAATAAACTTTTTTTTTTTTTTTCTTTTTAAAGGCGAGAGGCGCCTGGGTGGCTCAGCTCAGGTCATGATCTCACAGTTTATGAGTTCAAGTCCTACTTCGGGCTCTGTGCTGACAGCTCAGAGCCTGGAGCCTGCTTCAGGTTCTGTGTCTCCCTGTCTCACTCTGCCCCTCTCCTGCTCATGCCCTGTCTATCTCTCTCAAAAATAAACATTAAAAAAATTTTCTTTAAATAAGTAAATGTACATACAATACACTTCTTGGGCCCTTCGTAAAACAAAAGCTACACAGTCATCATAACCTGAACACTGACTACAGATGTATCTTTAAATTCTTACACAACTGCATTGGAAAGATCAGCGGAGAGGAAGTGAGTTTATAAGGAAAGTGAAATGTTCATTTACTCTCCCAGGAAGACAAAAGATAAAACCTAACATTAATAAATCGAGATACAGCCTTACAAGCACACTATTTAAAAACTGAATAAATACCAAAGAAACACCTAAAAGGGTTGGCAGGGATTATTACCTGTAGGAAGCAAGAATCAGAAATGATGGGGGCACAGAGGGTTGACAGGTGACAGGTATTTTTCGTCAGACTAGACGAGGAGAGCAGCAGTGTGCGAGTGTATGCGTGTGCACTTACTATAGTAGCTGTATCACTGGACTTTTTAAACTTTCTACAAAATTATCTTTGTAAAAGTAAAAATTAAGTTATAAAACCAAAACTGTGATGAGTAGCCTAGGCGCAGGTAGGGTAGAAACCAATCCATTAGTAATACCTTTTTTGAGTACCTCCTGTGGGCCCAGCACTTACTAGCTGTGTGACTTTGGGCAAAGTTTTTAACTTCCTTGTGTCTTAGTTTCCCTTACCTGTAAAATGGGTATAATAATAATACCTACCTCAGTAATAGCGGCACAGAAAAAGTGCCGAATCAAGGAAACTATTACTCATACTATTAGGAATGGGGTCCCGGTCTTGCCGCTGGGGAACAACATGAACAAAAAACAGGACCTGCCCTCGTGGCAGTAAAGTGGGCAGTGACAGGGCCAGGACACAAAGGGATAACATATGGGGCCCTACAGGAGACAAGTTCCTGTACTCCACTTCCCCTCAGCACCCTGGCATGAACGATCAGTGTTTCCAATGTGAATTCCTGAAAACACTCTTTTAAAAAAGTTGTGCGGTTGGGGTGCCTGGGTGGCTCAGTCAGTTAAGCGTCTGACTCTTCCACTCAGGTCATGATCTCGCGGTTCGTGAGTTCGAGCCCCACGTCGGGCTCTGTGCTGACAGTGCGGAGCCCGCTTGGGATTCTCTCTTTCCCCCCTCCCTGTCCCTTCCCTGGGTTGAAATCCAGTATTTCCCAAACGAATTTGACCTTGGAACTCTTTTTTATTCAAGAGGCCCGAGCGTCACAACAATGGTGCTCCAGTGAGACGTTCTGGGAGCCACGGCCTTAGATTTTGAGGCTGTCCTTTTATTCTGCTTCTCCTTTTTCACAGCCTTCTAAATTCCCTTTTCTTTTGCCGCGATTATTTTGACAAATTTAGAAGTGGTGAAAATATGATTTAATAGACAGCTCCCCTAATTAAATTCCTTTTGTGAAAAGCAATCAAATAGGTGTTGATGAGATCCGCATATACTTTTGAAAATGATCATATAGTCGATTTCAAATAACTCACACACAAGAAAAAGCTCCAGTAAGTTTTTAGAACAAAGGTAAAAGCAGTTAATAGATTCTCTACTCTTACGTTTAGAAGAATACTATGAATCATGGGTAATTTGAAAAATGAGATATGTTATGGCTTTTTAAGCATATTGTAACAAATCTGCATCACAAGGCCTCTGTGAGAAGGCTTTTTTAGAAAAAAAAGTACCAGGTGGGTTCTGCCGTTTTCCTGTTTTGAAATATGCATGACTTGGATTATTTTATATTCACTTGCTTCTCTTGCCTTTTGAGAAAACTCAAAAATACATTTTTTTTTCAGTACTACCGGCATTTTCTGAGAAAGCGCGTCTGGAAATCCGGTGTCGTTTATTTCACAGAAACCAAATCAGACCAAACAACTACTCTCACGCCTAAAATCTTCTTGAGAAGCGTCATAGGAAACGCCCTGGTCAGCTGAAAACAGCCAATCACCTAATTTTTTAAAACTGGAGAGAAGATGGTCTTCCTCCAAGTCAACAATGACCGGCCTTTCCCCAGTCTAGCTCCTCCTCCCCCACCGTCAGCCGCACCCCCCACCCCCATGCCGAAGGAAAGGGGCTTTCTGAGGTGCCTTAATATGGTCTTGCCAGTCCCCGAGGGGAGCCTTCCAGCTGCACCCTCTCTCTTCCTACTGGAACGAAACACTCTTTGTCATGGGCTGGAGGGTGCTCTACACCTTGACCCCAGCTAACAGCTCTCGGCAGCCTTTCTCCTGTCCTGTCCTCCCGCGGGACCCCGAGTTCGGAAATCAGCCCTCTCTGCGCTTTCCACAGCTGCCTGTTTACTCGTCTGGAGTCCCCGGCACCCTGGAAGTTCCTTGGGGTACCAGGAACCCTCAACGATCTAGCCGTGTGCCATTGTGCGGTTCCATCTCCCTGGGACACTGTGATCTTTTACGAACTCGGCCTAATCGGGCCACTTGCCTCATTGGGGACAGCCAGGGACTCCTGGGTCACTCGGCCTCTCCATCCTGTCTCCTCAGATGCTCCAGCCACACGGGGCCTCCCGGCTGCTTCGCTGCCTGATGCTCTGCCCCTGGGTCCTGCCGAGGCTAGATTTCATGACGGCCTCCGTGTTTGACGCTGTCGCTCTCACTAACCTGTTGGCCCACCGAGGACCTTCACTTCCCAGCAGATATCCTCAAATAATCCCTAGCACCCACACCAGCACCAGGGCCACAGTGAGCCTCCGTACATGTGTCCTGAGCATCTGAATGAATGAACGCATGAATGAAGTGTCTGGATCTACCTGCAGAAACAAAGCTAGAAGAATTTCAGCGGTAGTTACCCTTTTTATGAAACGGCAACGTAATTTAATAAGTGCAATGCAGTTAGCACATTAATCAAGTATCATAAAAATGCTGTACGATGGGGACCAGAGCATGTCTACAATGAAAATTTTGTGATTTGTAATTCAAGCTGTTAACTTTCACCGGGAGACTTCAAACCCCTCAGAGGTGCATGATGTAGGGAAAGTGGCTCAGGGAGACACGGGATGAGGCAGAACGTAAATGCCGAACACAACAAGGCATTCACATGTGAATGCACAAAATGTGAGGCATAACTTAGCTACATTTCTAAATTTCTAAGACCCTCAGCCTGAAACAACAACAAGAACTAAATAAAGAAATATGATTTAAAAATATAAAAACTGGGGCGCCTGGGTGGCTCAGTTGGATGAGCGTCTGACTTCAGCTCAGGTCGTGATCTCACGGTTTGTGGGTTCGAAGCCAGCGCCGGGCTCTCTGCTGTCAGCGCTGAGCCTGCTTTGGATCCTCTGTCCCCTTCTCTCTCTGCCTCTCCCCCATCACGTTCTCACTCTCAAAAAATAAATAAAACATTAAACAAATAATTAATTAATTAATTAATTAAAAATATAAAAGTATTCAGTGAAAGGTGAAATAAATTAATACTAAATTTTTTTCAAGTACAGCAAATCTCACGAATCCAAAATACTGCAACGCTAATGGCAGTTCACTGAAATTAAAGGAGAACAGAAGGAAAAGGAGACCTCTGAGCTCCCGTATTTAAGGAATTAATCTTCTGATTCTTAAAAACCTGCCTATTTGAGTATTTGTTTAGCAAGGTGGCTCCTGAGTTTTCCCGACTTGAGATTACTTCTGACAGCTCCTTCTCTTCTCGTACACTTCTCCAACTTCCCCTGGTGCCTGATCTTTGGGCCTGGTTGGTGGCTGTGAACACTGTCATATCCCAACCATGACACCGATAACTTCAATCTCCCATTAGGACATGCAAATAATTATCGAAACTGTGACTCCACTACTGCGTGGAATTGTAATAAGCAGATACCGCTTCCATCATGTTTCTCACGATCTCTAAGAATTAGCATCCTACTCCAGCAATGGATGAACCCGGAGCAAGAAGAAAAGATCTCACGTTCAGTGAGCACCACCTCGAGTACCAGGGACAGTACTTGACCCGTCGTCTCGTTTAATTGTCACAGCAACCCAGTGAGTTGGGTTTCATTATCTCGATTTTAAGAATAAAGCATTAAAAAGTTCACAGCTTGTCCAGTCACTACAGCAACAGCCCCAAGCACACCCGGATCCCCACCGAATGATTAACATCCAAACTATGTGTTTAACTGACCAACGGTAATGGGGAGCTAAACTGGAAAACCCTCCACCTGCCTATTTTGAAATGCCACCTACCAGTTTAAGGACAAGACATAAATGCGCAACCTGAAAATACAGAGTCTATCTCCCGGCTTCTACTTTCGAAAGGAAATAAGGCTCCACCTACTTGTCACGCGCACTCTCTTCCCACCCTGAGATGGAGGCTGATTACAACAGTACCTGGTTGCAACTTAGGATAGCACAGAATCAAGTAACTGGCCAACTCGTAACACGAGACGCCAACCGCTTTGTTAGTATCTACCCAAAGGTGCCGGGACATGCTAAGGGACCATAACTCTGCTTGGGAGAACCCCCAAAATGCAGCAGAGAATGGCGACAACCACAGAGTCTTCAGGAAGGAGTAAGAGGGACGAACATTTCAAGCAAAGAAAGCGATGCATATAATACAAAATCAGCAAATGTGTGTTGTTGCGTACTGAAGAAGAGTAAGGTCGCTATTCCCTTCCTTATTTGAGCCTCACAACAACCCAGTGAGGTGGTACTAGGACCATTCCCTTTTTACAGACAGGGCAACAGAAGCGATGTCTACACCCGATGGAAGAGTGGAGCTCTGTGTACCACCAAAGAGCATACTTTGGGATGTGTGTGGAATTGAGAAGCAAAAGGCGGGTGCATTTCACAAACCACACACTTAATACACCAGTAAATGCCGAGGCCGACAGGTAAGTAAGCGTTGCTAATTATTAAGTTCTTGTTATGTGCTTGACACTTTTCACCTACATAACCTCACTCCATCCTTCCAACAGTGATCTCTGAAGTAGTTATTCCTACAACAGCCATTTTACAAATGAGGCCATTAAGGCTAAGAAAAGGTATGTAACTTGCCTGAGATCACACAGCAAATAAATGCTGAATTCAGGACTTGAAATCAAGTCAGTATGACTAGCAAGCCCATGCTTTTAACCTCTATGCTATGCTGCCATTTGATTAACCACGAACAGGTCATCGGAAACAATTAAAAGGTTGTTTTGTTTTGTTTTGTTTTATCTCAGATTCAGCCAATACCTTGTATTTATTTGTGTTAGAACAGGACCAGTTATACGGAAACATTACTGCATTCTTACCAAAATCATTTACCCCGAGTGCCCATTTACGTAGAAAATATTTTAAATTGTTCCATTTAAAAAACTGTAGTCCTGAGGGAGCTCTGCAGCTACATTCAAAATGTATTATTCAGATTTAGAACATTAAGCATTTCATGACTGAAGTTTTTTAAAGAGCTTAAAGAAATACATTCTAAAGGGAGGGCAAGATGACTGGGGTTCTTGGCAAGGAGAGAGGAAGTGATGCGTCCTAGCAAAACAAACCAAAGATAAAAGAACAGACTGAATGAGGACAAGAGCTCATTTCCAAAAAGTCTCAGTCAGAACCTGAGTTAACAGTGTCTTTTAGCTGCCACAAAAATGTGCTTTGACTTCAGGGATGTTTGTAAAACACCATCGCTGTACCGGTTACGTGGTTTTCCTCAACCCTTGGCAACACACATAAACCCCCAAGAAAACTGAACCTTCTTGGTTTTCGCAAAACTTCTTCTCGTAACAAGTGCCACAGGTACCATTTTTAAATCATGCCTTCAGGCACACAGAGCGCCCTGTGCCCCTCAGAACTGACTTGAGCACGACTAAGTTTTGCTCAAACTAAACATACAACCTGTGGGAATGCAAGCTGGTGCAGCCACTCTGGAAAACAGTACGGAGCTTCCTCAAAAAACTAAAAAAAGAACTACCCTACAACCCAGCATTTATCCACGGGATACAGGTGTGCTGTTTCAAAGGGACACATGCACCCCCATGTGTATAGCAGCACTATCGACAACAGCCAAAGTATGGAAGGAGCCCAAATGTCCATCGATGGAAGAATGGATAAAGAAGATATGGTATATATATACAATGGAGTATTACTCGGCAATCAAAACGAATGAAATCTTGCCATTTGCAACTATGTGGATGGAACTAGAGGGTATTATGAAATTAGTCAGAGAAAGACAAAAATCATATGACTTCACTCATATGAGGACTTTAAAGGACAAAACAGATGAACATAAGGGAAGGGAAACAAAAATAATATGAAAACAGGGAGGGGGACAAAACAGAAGAGACTCATAAATATGGAGAACAAACTGAGGGTTTCTGGAGGGGTCCTGGGAGGGGGGAGGGACTAAATGGGCACTAAGGAATCTACTCCCAAAATCATTGTTGCACCGTATGCTACCTAATTTGGATGTACGTTTTAAAAAATAAAAAATAAAATTAAAAAAAAAGAATAATAATGATAAAAAAAAAATACTACCTGGAAAGGGTCTATAAAATCCAAAGGACAAAATTACTTATTGTTCTAAATAGATAAACTGTTTATCGATAACTAACCAATAAGTCCCTTTGCTGTTGCTTTCTCACCAATGAATGGCTGTACTCTTGACAGTTCTCTCTCCAGCGAAAATGAGGTTGGTCTTCTGTCGCCCTCCACCTCCACCCCCCAAGTCCTGCGACTGATATTCTCCTGTGTTTTCCCTTCTTGGAGAAATTTTAAAAATTAACGAACACACGTATAGCCACCACCCCACACTGGCAACTGTTGAAATGTCATAATCTTTTCTATAGAAGAAATGAAATCTTTCGGGGGAAGGTGATATATACAAGGTCTCCCTACCCACAGATCATCGTTCTCAACTTGATGTCAATCCACCCAATACTTAAAATATTTTTTAAAATTTTTGAGAGAGAGAGACAGAGCTCAAGTTGGGGGGGGGTGTGGGGGTGGCGGAGAGAGAGGAAGACAGAATTTGAGCTGTCATCACAGAGCCTGATGTGGAGCTCGAACTCACTGACCACGAG